GGCGGCGTGGGGACGAGCTGAAGGAAAAGCACCCTGGGCTGCGTGAGTGACATCGAGAGTGAGGGCTGCTGCCTCCGGAGGCTGACGTGCAGGCCACTTCTGCCCAGGTCCCACTTTAGCACGACCACAAGGGCCATTAAGACCCTCCAACGTGCCATCAGTGGTTCTGAACTCTGCATAATGACTGAAGGCTGCCTTATCATCAGAGGGGAGGAGCGCAGTCTGGAAACCAAAGGGGTTGAAGTTCCAGCCGCCGCCAGGCCTCTGAGCCCCATCACACTCCCAGAATAGCGCACCGGCTTCCCGGCAGCCCAGGCTGCACCGCAACTGGCCTTCCGGTGAGGGAGGCAGTCAAGCCCCAAACAGTGCCAGGAACAGCTGGGACTGGACAGGGCCCAGAAGCCAGCTGGTGGGCCCTGCCCTGCCCTGCCCTCCTGGAGGAACCCATCTCTGGGTCCTCTGTGGTCTCATGACTCTCCCAACACTGCTAGGGGTCTGGGCTGGATTAGAGGTTGGGGCAGCCTCAAATTCCAGGCAAGGGGTGGGGCAGTGAGTGGGTCTTTTAAAGGGTTTGTTGAGTATGTTGGTGGTGGCTGGGGAGGCTGGTGAAGGGCCAAATGGCCACATGCGCAGAGTGTGCAGGGTGGACGAGACCATCGGAGGCCACAGGCCAAGAAGGCAGAGCCCTGGATGGAGGCTGGCTTCTGAAGGTGAAGGGGTTTCTGGAAGAGGAAGGGCAGCCGCCCACGGCTGGCCACCCCAGAGCTCCCTGCATCTCCTCAGGCCTGAGCAGGTCCCCTGCAATGGGAAGTGAGGTCCCACAACCGGGAGGGCAGGAAGGGAAACAGGAAGATGAAGGGAACTTTCACCCTTCCTCCAAGCCTGTGCCTCGGCTGGGGCGGGACAGGTGCATAAATACCTATCCATCCACAGGCGGGACATTCTAAGGGCTATTCAAGAGGCGAGGAAAGCACGTCAGGGCACAGACAGTGAAGACCAAGTCCAAATCCACAGCGGGTCTTGGCCTCTGTGAACCTCAGTTTTTAAGTCTATAAAACAGAGATAATGACATCTGCCTCATGGATTCGGACCTACCCTTTTGGACGTTTCTATGGTCAAAAGCATCAAATTATGTAAAAAACGATTTGAAATTGTACAGCACTACATGGGGGTATCATATCATCAGACAAGCCAGATCCCTGAACTTCTTGGCCTGGGGTTCTGGACACTGGATTCTTGCTGACCCTGTGTCGTCCTCTCTCCCCTCCCACTTAGAGAAGACTGACAGCAGCCTCTCTTTTGGTCAATCAATACAATCACCAATATTTAATGCCTTTTTTTTTTTTTTTTTGATGCAGAAAGCATTGTGCTGGGAAGGAGAGGGGCAGAATCTAGAATCCATTCCTACAGGGCCTCCCAGCATTAGGGAGGCAAGGTATCTCTGTATAAGATAATTAACAATGCAAAAAAAGATAAGATTAGCAAATGGGGGAGGGGCGGAGTTCTGGGGGAAAGAGAACTCTGAGGTCACCAGCACTTGCTTGCAGGACAGCCCAGGGCTCTAGGACATGGTCTCTAAGAGGAGGGCATCTTGGATTGAGTGTAGGGACAATGGGAGCAAGTCACAGGAAGGCAGTCAGGAGGCAGGCTCAGGCCAGAGTGACCATTTCCTGTGGGGGAGAGGAAGGAGCCCCTGTTGGATACAGGCTGCAGAGGCCTTGAATGCTGGGCGAGGGGGTCTGGACTTTAAAGGCACCAGGAGCCAATGAAGGTGTTATAGAGCCCTGGAGTAAAATCAGGGAATGTCCCACATTAGATGAGGGCTCACAGGGTGACTGGAGGGGACAATGTGAGCAGGATCATCACTTTGGGGGCTAGTGCAGCTATTGGGGTGAGACGGAAGGCATGCTCACCCTTGAAATGCTCTCAGATGGCGGGCAGACTCCTGAAGGCGGGGAAGCTCAATGCTGCATGGTTACACACTTCCTTTTTGTTTTTGGACAGGGTGGCGGGTTGAGTGGCCTGCATGTCTGGACCCTTGCTTTAAGATCTAGCTCTTAGGATTCACTGAGTCTGTTGATGGAGGCTGGCCAAATCTGGGCAACTCAGAAAATCCAGTTCTCTGCTCCCAGGGAGTTGGTCAGCGGCCACTGAGCTGTGGACGCAGGTTTGTAGAAGGGCTCCCGGTCAGGTGGCATTCTAGCAAGCTCTATCCAAAGCCTGCTTCCGGGTACATTTCCAGAGGGGTCACCCACGGGTAGCCAGTTGAGGTGAATGAGTGTTTAACCCCTCTGGCTTCCTGCTTCTTAGAGGCCATCATGATATCACAGTCCTCTCTATAACAAAACCCACGCAGCCTCTGCTGCTCCAAACAGGAAGTCCTGTGAGACCAAGAAAAAGACCAGGCCCAACAAAGCACGCAGCAGGGGCTGTAACCAGTTAATGCAGAGCCCGGGAGCAAGGCCAGGTGAAATGCAAACTATTAACCAGCTGCAGGTGGTGGGGCTCCCGGCCACTCAGCTCAGGAACAAGGCCCCTACCTATCAGGGAGCCTGGAGCCACTCTTAGTTCAGGGGGGCACTGTTCTCACTGCACTGAGGACCCTCCACCCGCTAAAAAGAGGAGGTTGGCCTGCCCCTCCATGGAGGAAGAAATGCTCCCCCAGCCCAAGAGATTCTGCAAGCTGAAACCGTGACCCAGGACAGGGAGTGGGGATAAGGCACTGGGCAAGTTCCTCTGAGGGACTTAGAGACCTCTAGCACTCCCTGGCTGGGCTCCTCCATGCTAAAACTGGGTTGCCAGGGGCCCTACCTTGGGCTCTGGTGTGGGGCTTGCTGGCTGGCCCGGGGGAGGTGGGATTCCCCATCAGACAAGATGCTTGCCTGTCACGGGGAAGTTGTGGCACCATTTGCAAGGGTGCTGTATGAGAGGGAAGGTCAGCAGTGGTCTCCTACAGACTAGTGGCTATTCCTTGCAAGTACAGCTCAGAGGTAGAGCACTTGGCAGCAGAATAATGGCTATTCCATAGGCATTTGCTGAAAATATCTACCATGCTCCAGGCTGTGTGCCGGATGCTGGGGACGGATAGTAAGAAGAGTCCCTGCTCTTGAGAAAGGCTCAAAAGGTTACTCATGACACACCAGGAGAAACGATAAGCGAATGCTTAATGGACTGGGGGTAAGCGGGCAGCTCACAGTGGGTCCTCTTGGGGAAACTGAGAACAGCCTCATTCTGAGCCAGGCAGATTTGCAAAAATTTTTGCTCAGACAGAGACAGGAGGTGAGAGGGACAGGACATCTCAGGTAGAAAGACCAGCATAGGTGAAGGCCTAGGGCATGCGTCCCAAAGAGTGATCAAGCACGGCTCCCCTGATGGTGATGTGGAGTTGAAAGTGTCAGAAAAGCAGATTCTGCAGGAGTTTGGGTTCAAAACTGCCAGATGTCTTTAGCTAAAAGGCCTAAGGCTCAGAGAGGTTAGGCAGTCACATATAGGAGAGGCTGGACACTGACCATCTATAAGTGCCAGCCTTGTGGGAGGAACATTCTAGGCCCACTGCATTTTAGGGATGGTGTTATCACCTACATTTTGCAGTAGAGGAAGGTGGGGTCCAGAGAGATGAGGTGACCTGCTGGTCACACAGCTGGCAGATGGCACCCTGGCCCTGCGAGTACCTCAGACTCCAGGATTGAGGGAACCCAGGCCGCTAAAAGAAGGGGCTTTCCAGCGAGTAAAGGTGGTGACATTCTATCTTCCAGTAAAAATCAGATGCTTGGGAGAGGGCAGATGGGGGGCAGTAGGGTGCTCTGCCTCAATCCAGGAAGGCTGGGAACAGTGGGTGTGCAGCACCTGCTGGGACCATGTCTCAAAGGGTTACTTTCTGGTGACAGTGGGAGTTCACAATGGGTTCCATGCCTGCTGGGTTGTATTAACTAAGGTTGAGGGGCACCAGGGGACACAGATGACCCTGTGATTGAAGTCTGAAAAAGCACAGTACCTCCCGAGAACCTCCCTTTCTAGCATGGTAGGCTGCGTGGGTACAGCCCTGCCGGCTAGGGTGAGGCTCAGGGTGGCGTGGGGGCGGCGGCTCCCAACTCCATTCTCCCTACCCGGGTCCAGGGACTGAAGTGGAGTGAAAACAGAAATCCTGGACACCCAGGGGCCCACGCCATCTGCGCTGAGGGACTTGCTTTGTCCTTTGAAGACAGATCCTATTCCAGAAGGGAGCTGGGTTGAAGAGGGAAGAGCAAACAGTTCTCAGCGAAACTGACCTACATTTCCCCAGGGCTCAGCCCTTGAGAGTGGGGCCCCTTTGCAAAGGACTCCCAGGTGGTGATCCATGATCGGCAACAGACAGTCCAGTCCTTCACCTGCCTGAGGCAGGACTGCAGGGGACTAGAGCTGATGTCCGGAGAACCTAGGTAGGGAGGAGAGGCTCTTGAAGAAGGCAAGCAAATGGACTAGTATCAGGGCCATAACTTAAACTGTCTTCCACTCCTTAGGGCCAACAGGTCTTGTAGTCTCAGGCTATTTCTCCTACACGATGACCCTGCCCAGTGAGCTGCCAGGTAGTGGCCTGGTTAAGCAAACGCAGTTAGAAGCCAGGACAACTTAGCTTCTCTCACTCAGGTAGATGGGGACTTTTCAGTGTGGGCATGGAGCTGCTAACCCTATTCAAGCCTTGGCCCCTGACTCTGGGGTGGAGAGCTCTGGAGCAGCAACACTGAAACAATTTGGTCTTAGCAGCGTTCTCCAGATAAGCCTGCCAGCATAGGGCACAGGAAGGGATATAGTGTTCTAGAAAGCCAGGGCCCTACCGCTGCTACCCGGCTAGCAAACATTCCCTCCTAGTCAGAAAGGTCGGTGTGCAAAGGGAGGAACAGCCTGAGGTTTATCGCTCGGGCAGCTCTGGGTGATTGGTAGACTCCCGGTTGTCATAGACCTACGCACGCAAACAAACAGCCGGGGAGGTACCCCTCCCCTCTCCGCGCCCGACCCACCTGGCTACCCCCTCACCCGTGACCAGCGGCCTCCCCTCCCCCTCGCGGCGCTCGGGGTTGAACAAACATGCCCAGCAGTCCGCCCCGCCACCGGTTGGCTCCGACCGCGAGCTGCTGGCGATCCCCCAGGCAACTAGGCGTCACGAGAATGGGCACCCCGAGACCCGTGGCCCTGCCCTCCCCCGCGTCCCCAGGGGCCGGGCCAGGCTCAACAACCTCCTCTTTTCTCGGTGCGCCTTGGCCTCTCAGGGCCTCCGGCGCAAGCCCGCTCCCGGCCTCCAGGGGCAGCGCAGCCCACCTTCCGGGGGGCCCGCGGCCCCTGGAGGAGGAGGCCGGAAAATCTCTTGTTTACTGGGCTCTCGTCTCAGCCGGGATTCGCCTCCCCTATTCTGCGGTTCCCTTTCAGCAGATTCCTGGGGCCGGAGGGGTCGGGGCAGTCACCCGCAGATCCACCCTGGCAGGGAGCGGGGGTGTCGGGCTCAGGGGAACCCGAAATCGTGGAAAGGTCCCCCGGCCGCGGGAGGGGCTGGACTCGGAGTCAGGGTCAGCGTGACCCGGAGCGCCGAGATCGGGGCCCGGTTAAACACTGTATCTCGGGGAACAAAACCGTGAAGACTAATTAGGACAAGTCGGTACGCGGAACGGGGACGCGGGGAGGGGGGCGCGCGCTCCGAGTTGAGCCGGGTCTGGAGCGGTCTCGGGAAACCCGAGCGCTGGATAGTCAACCCAGCGCGACGTTTGCCCACGGTCTGCAGTGGTTGGGGCTCGGCCCACGGGATTAGGGGCGTGCGTGGCGGCATTCCCACGTGATCTTGGTGACTGGGGTATCAGGGAAGGAGCGCGCGTTAAAGAGGTGGCCGCTGGGTGTGTGAAGTGTCCACGTGTGCAAGCTCTGGAGGGGAGGGGGCGCAGAAGGCGTGACAAAGACGGACTTTGTGTCTCAGTGTGCGCCTCGCTCCAGCCCGGGGCAGCTAACTGCGTCTGGCGTGTCTCGAAGGAAAGCCACGACGAAGGTGACAAAGGCTGGGTGTCCGCCACTGAGAGACGCGCCAAGGCAGCCCCGGCGCCAGTGGGTGCGTACGCGAGCTGGGAGATGCCGCGAGGGAGAGCCCGCCCGCGGGATGTGCTGGGCTGCACCCCAAACCGCTTTCCAGAGAAAGAGCCGAATCCAGAAAGTGAGTGCGCGTGAATGTGCGCGTGCTCGCGTGCGGGGGCGTGGCAGTAAACAGCAACAACCCACACGCCAGCTTGGCCAGAAACTCGGATCTCGCTCACCGGCCGGAAAGTGCGTCTCGGCCGAGGCTGGAGGTGAGTCCGCGGGGGGAGGGCAGGGCGGGCTTTGTTACTGGGTAAACGGATTGCACCTACCTGGAGCGCCGCGGGCGCCGGATAAGCGCCGTGAATGGAGGTGATGTCACGGTGATACCGGCCGGCCCACCCTCGCCGAGAGCCAGGAGCCGGGCACCACTAGTATCAGGGCCATAACTTAAACTGTCTTCCACTCCTTAGGGCCAACAGGTCTTGTAGTCTCAGGCTATTTCTCCTACACGATGACCCTGCCCAGTGAGCTGCCAGGTAGTGGCCTGGTTAAGCAAACGCAGTTAGAAGCCAGGACAACTTAGCTTCTCTCACTCAGGTAGATGGGGACTTTTCAGTGTGGGCATGGAGCTGCTAACCCTATTCAAGCCTTGGCCCCTGACTCTGGGGTGGAGAGCTCTGGAGCAGCAACACTGAAACAATTTGGTCTTAGCAGCGTTCTCCAGATAAGCCTGCCAGCATAGGGCACAGGAAGGGATATAGTGTTCTAGAAAGCCAGGGCCCTACCGCTGCTACCCGGCTAGCAAACATTCCCTCCTAGTCAGAAAGGTCGGTGTGCAAAGGGAGGAACAGCCTGAGGTTTATCGCTCGGGCAGCTCTGGGTGATTGGTAGACTCCCGGTTGTCATAGACCTACGCACGCAAACAAACAGCCGGGGAGGTACCCCTCCCCTCTCCGCGCCCGACCCACCTGGCTACCCCCTCACCCGTGACCAGCGGCCTCCCCTCCCCCTCGCGGCGCTCGGGGTTGAACAAACATGCCCAGCAGTCCGCCCCGCCACCGGTTGGCTCCGACCGCGAGCTGCTGGCGATCCCCCAGGCAACTAGGCGTCACGAGAATGGGCACCCCGAGACCCGTGGCCCTGCCCTCCCCCGCGTCCCCAGGTGGGATTCCCCAGCAGACAAGATGCTTGCCTGTCACGGGGAAGTTGTGGCACCATTTGCAAGGGTGCTGTATGAGAGGGAAGGTCAGCAGTGGTCTCCTACAGACTAGTGGCTATTCCTTGCAAGTACAGCTCAGAGGTAGAGCACTTGGCAGCAGAATAATGGCTATTCCATAGGCATTTGCTGAAAATATCTACCATGCTCCAGGCTGTGTGCCGGATGCTGGGGACGGATAGTAAGAAGAGTCCCTGCTCTTGAGAAAGGCTCAAAAGGTTACTCATGACACACCAGGAGAAACGATAAGCGAATGCTTAATGGACTGGGGGTAAGCGGGCAGCTCACAGTGGGTCCTCTTGGGGAAACTGAGAACAGCCTCATTCTGAGCCAGGCAGATTTGCAAAAATTTTTGCTCAGACAGAGACAGGAGGTGAGAGGGACAGGACATCTCAGGTAGAAAGACCAGCATAGGTGAAGGCCTAGGGCATGCGTCCCAAAGAGTGATCAAGCACGGCTCCCCTGATGGTGATGTGGAGTTGAAAGTGTCAGAAAAGCAGATTCTGCAGGAGTTTGGGTTCAAAACTGCCAGATGTCTTTAGCTAAAAGGCCTAAGGCTCAGAGAGGTTAGGCAGTCACATATAGGAGAGGCTGGACACTGACCATCTATAAGTGCCAGCCTTGTGGGAGGAACATTCTAGGCCCACTGCATTTTAGGGATGGTGTTATCACCTACATTTTGCAGTAGAGGAAGGTGGGGTCCAGAGAGATGAGGTGACCTGCTGGTCACACAGCTGGCAGATGGCACCCTGGCCCTGCGAGTACCTCAGACTCCAGGATTGAGGGAACCCAGGCCGCTAAAAGAAGGGGCTTTCCAGCGAGTAAAGGTGGTGACATTCTATCTTCCAGTAAAAATCAGATGCTTGGGAGAGGGCAGATGGGGGGCAGTAGGGTGCTCTGCCTCAATCCAGGAAGGCTGGGAACAGTGGGTGTGCAGCACCTGCTGGGACCATGTCTCAAAGGGTTACTTTCTGGTGACAGTGGGAGTTCACAATGGGTTCCATGCCTGCTGGGTTGTATTAACTAAGGTTGAGGGGCACCAGGGGACACAGATGACCCTGTGATTGAAGTCTGAAAAAGCACAGTACCTCCCGAGAACCTCCCTTTCTAGCATGGTAGGCTGCGTGGGTACAGCCCTGCCG